AAGAGAAAGAAGAAAGAGATTGAAATATCAAACCAACTGTTTTCAGCAGCAGCATGAATATAAATGAATAAGTACATGTAAAGTTTAGCTGAAATTCTCAAGTACAATGTTAAGATTATGCTTGAGTATTTATACTCTGTAGTACTCCTATCATGCATTCAATTAGAATTATTTTGCAACTATACGTACACAAAATGTAAATAGCATGAATATCGCATTTAACATACATTCAACTTCTAGAATTGGCACCTTGACGAGTTACATTTTAAAATGTGGCTAAATGCATTAGAAAGAATGAAGAATATTGATCACTAATACTGTTCTTTGGGTATTTAAGAATGATATTATGAATTTTGAGGCTATTTTTACATACATTAAAGTTGAGAAAAAAATGAATACAGGAGCATAACTGTCATGAGTGTTTTTTTAATTCAAGGATTTAAAAACTCTCAAAGCTGCTGATTCATGTAGTTTGTCCTTTTCTGGCAGAATTAGATGTTTCTCCTTCCCCACTTGGTAATACAGGAACAAAAAAGTCCAAAGTGATCCTTCAGTTAAGTATTACTATGTTGTAGTGTTTGTAAAATGGATATCAACTGTAAGCTAACTTGAGATCATGCAGCTAAAAAAGTATTTCTTTTGGTAATTGCTACAGACTCACTGTGATATGTTAATTCTGGGAATAAAAGTTTGCATGTAAACTTTGGTGGCTCTGGACTTCACACAAAGTATCTTACAAACAAAAAAATGAGTCAGGTTTCAGCTTTGTGGTTTCTTAAAAATCAAAACTACATTGATCAATTCTAAAAACTGTTTCTTCATTCTGAACACCAATAAGAGAATATTTTTGTCCAATTTTGTCCAACCCATAACAGAATTTGCGTTAAAACCCAAAACGTAAACCTCTTAAGTAGCTAAACACTATAGGGTTCCCTAAAAAAATAAGCAAAACATGAATTTAAGGCTTCTTTTATTTTTATGTAAACGTTCAAGATACATGTCAGCAAAAAGAAAATATCCAAGGGCAACATCCAGGGCTGGCCCTGAATAGACAAAAATATATTGTATTAAATGAAAAGTCATGATAAAATGCATCAACTGAGTTTTGCATTTTGTCTAACATTTTATATTTGAAGAACAGAAATCAACCATGGAGAAATAAAAGGGTAACTACCACGAAGAACAAGAGGAGTCACAGTGCTGTGAGTTGTCAGGGGTACAACATATGCAGTGCAAATTTGTGTCAATTTGACTGAAGAGAGATCACAAAAGAAAACCTTATTTGACACTGTGTGTATTCTACCCCCCACCACTGATGCCACAATGTCAACCTCATGTCCATGTTTTTTCCTCTTGGTGTGTATTTTCCAGAGAACCACAGCATCCCAGGATTTAGCTAACAGCAAAAAGGTGATTAGAGATGCTATCCGAGTCCAAGTAAAGCGTATCTGCCAGATTTCTTGGCTCGTTCCAGGGCTCCAAAAAGTTAGAAATCATCATCATCATCTGAGTCCATCACCCTCTGTCTGTTGAACTGGCAGAAGAAAAAAAAATTAAGCTGGACTACAGAAAACTACAAATGCACCAAAGTATGCAACATTTCTGGGAACTTACTTTGACAGTCGTTTTTTTCTCTGTTTGCTGGCTGACTTTTTCTAGGATTTCAATCAAGCCTGACTCGGAAATCTGACAAGAGAAAATATGGTCATTGCACTGCTGCCATGTGACATTCACACTACTTCAGGCTTCCGGAGTCTTTTTCTTACCTTTCCTCCCAACTTTCCAAAACGAGCCATCTGAATGAGATAGTTTTCAACTGCTTTGGCCTTCTCTGGCTTCACCAAAGCAAGATTGCTTACTGAAGAAAAATAAAATAAGTAAACATGATTCATTTCCAAAAGGAAAGTTTCAACAGGCCAAACTATGAATATGAGAGCATACTTACATCTGGCACGGGCAAACTGGTCAAGAACTTGGGCCAAAATAGAGTTCCTCATGTCAGTTTCTCTGTAAATATAAAGTAATTATATTCTCACA